CCTGATCGCCCAGCATCCCCCGCTGGTTCTCCGGGCACTTGCAGGGCGCTTCACCTTCAAATGCCCCCTCGGCGGTCCCGGGCGGACCTGCCACCTCGGAGCAAACCCTCTGAAAACCGAGAGGGCGAGAAGCAGGCGGGGAAACGAGAAAGTTCAAAGGTTTAACTCCTTCCTGCCCGTCCGCAGATAACAGGCCATGAAAGGGGACCGCATTGTCCTCCGCACTTGCTGCGGGGCACTTGCCCAGTCTGGGGGAGCCGCCGTGTATCTCCGACTCCTCCCAGCCGCTGCCCCCTCGCCAACATGCAGCTCTGCCTCTCTGGTGCCCTGTCGTGCAAAGCAGGGTCTGAAAGGATGGAGGGCTGGAAACTTGTCTGCACTCAGACAAAGGGAGGAAGACTGTGGGGAGAGAGCTGAGGAAGATCAGGCATTAGCTTTTTCTTCTCTTAGAGATACTATTCCTGTTTTGATTGTGCCTCTTTGCAGGCTGCCTTCCAAGGATTCCCGTTCTCTGTGCATGTGAGGTGTGAAGGTGGGCAGGACCCCAAGCAACAAATCATGGATTTTGTTATGAAACAAGCTCTAGGAGGTAAGTGTGATTGGCAAACAAGGGGCCACTACCCCTCCCCTTTGCACCCTGAAAGAGAGGGGATGTCATAGGTCTGCACCTGGAATAGCTTATTGAGGACTTGGAACAGTATACCTGTCACTGATTCGTGATCCCGGAGTGGAGCATTTGGAGAGTCTGAGCAGGAGAGGGCAGCAACAAGCAGAGACGACAGCCCCAAGTCAGAAGAGCGACCTCCCACAAAGGGTGTGCTGGCCCTAATTGGCATGACCCAGGGCCAGCACCTGGATGCATATCCTGCTGTGCAGTGTGCAAGTCTTGATTTGCTTCATGCCATGTCACAGAGGCAGGTATTATAAAGGACGAAGACTGGTTTAGGCAGAGGAAGGCCAAAGAGTGGCATTTTGTCTACGTATGTAAGCCTTCTTTCATCTTTCCCCCAAAGACTGGCCAAATCCTGAGCAAAAAATGCCCAGTGCAGAAATTTCTGTCTCTGATATTTTGAGAGTTAATTTTAGTAAGAACACTACCACAATAAGGATGGAAATGATAATAAAGTATTCCTACACACTTTACCTGGATTTAAGGCCAATCTTCTATGGGTTTCTGTACATTAGCTTATGTGTGTGAGGAATTGTTTTAACCTAATGGTGTGAAATAGAAAAATTAGGGATGTGTGTAGGAGAAATTGAAAACACTGAACAAATATTTGGGAATGACGTTCCTTTATTCTGCCACAGTTACTTTCTAGGCTGCTTGATCTGGACATTTGGTCTGAGCAATGATCTAAGCATCACTGAGATGATGTTGGATGCTGCTGGGGACTGAAATATTGGCCTCAGAGGAAGTTGATAATTCTCTCTTGTATTCTATCTCATGTGTGCATTTTTCATTCTTTTTTTCTTTGAAGAAACTGTAGAATCATGAGGCCGTGTAAATGTTTAATGTGTAGTGATATTGATGTCATATACAACTTCAACATTTACTGCAGGACTCTATCCCATGACTTGGAAATAATGTTTTAATCTCTGAAAGTGGTGGGTGTTCTTCACCAGAGGAGCAAGATTTTCACAGTTAAGAACAGAGGAAACAACCAAAGTTTTAGTTGGGGTATTTTGAATAGGGAGATCAAACTGGAGAAGAAAGGGACTGATTTGTTTGCACAAAATAGTGAGGTATGAAAACATGTATGTGAGAAGGTAGCGGTTTGTGTGGTAGCAGTGCTGTGTTTCATTTCACTCTTCAGTGCCCGTTTTGAAGGGAATTAGTGTTAAGATGTGAAGGGTTTTCACTGTTTGCTGTAGTGCAAAGTTGCTTGCGCAGAATTGAACTAATGTACTTGCAAACTGGAGATACAGCCACTACAGCTGGAGATCCATGAATCCAGTAAAGGGAAATAACTGCTTACAGACTGCAGTTAAAGGTGGGGGCAGGCGGGCTGCAGCAAAGGAATAACATCTATGATGGCTGCTTTCTTCTGCAGCTTGGTGACTTAACATGAGTTGGAAGCACTGCCTGCCTGTGCTTAACACCATTCACCCTGGGCAGACCTTCATTCTAACAAGATGTTGCATGCCAAGATCAGGATTTGTATGATAATAGGACTTTCTGAGAAGGTAAATTCAAAAAGCATCTTTTAGTGAAGTCTGAGCTCCTGATGTCTGTTAAGATGCTGTCCAGGGCACCAGCTCTTTGCCAGATGATTTAATGTGTCTGGAACTTACCCACTTACTCAATAAAGGAGAAGTCTCTGCAGAGTGGTAAAATCCAGGAAATGCTAATTCATTAAGCAGAGTCCTATTTTTAAATTACAAATAGTTTCAATAAGATAATACAAGATCTCCCAGAGTGAATATAATACTGAAAATAAAGGTGGTTTTGGACACTGGTTTCTCCCTGGAGTTAAAGCCCAAGCTGATGCAAATCGTCCAAGTTGGCCAGACTGGCACAGCAAACTAAGGACTAAAGGTTATAGTTTGCTCCCTTAGTTTTGAGGCCAGAACCCTTTCTGTTTGCCAGTTCTGATATCCAAAGGGAGATTTACTTAAGGGTTAGACTCAATGATCCTTCTGGGTCCCTTCCAGCTCAGAATAATCTGTGAATTGTGTCCACAAGGATGGTCAAACTGAGCAGAGCACCAAACCTCTAGTTGATAGGCTTGCTTTGGGTAGGATATGTGGTCTGATCTGCTAGTGACCATTTTTATTATCCTCACTTTCTGGGAGGTCTTTGGGTGGATTTCATAGCTCTTTGATTTTAGTTTAATATGGCTTTTCCCAGAACACCTCTGAATTCATTCTTCTGTTTGATAGGATTTTTTGAATGGTGTGAAAGTTCTTATACCATTCTCATAATCTCTTATGGCATTCTGGGAAGAAAGAAAAAAATACTGCAATTTTGTCATTAGGTCCCCTCTAATTTACACAGAATCTGACCTGCTGTAGATTCTGCTTGTTGAACACCTACAGCTAAGGTAGCTTAACCTTTCAGCTATCTCAGATGGTGAAAGTTCACCATCTGAGGGCCAGTTGGATGTCCTTGACAGAACATAATGGTTATGTAATTTTCATAAGTAATTTTTTCTTCACAGCGTACAGCCCTAAAATGAAGCTTAGGCCAGACCTTTTGATAGCTAAGAGCCTGGAAATCTATTTGCAGGTGGTTGCTTTTGACCTTTCTCTAGTGTACAGGATTATGCAGGTCTCTGAAGCATGTGAGGAGTTTGGAACCAGGTTTTGTTTTTGGGAGTGGTCAAATAAAGTACTGATAGAAAAACATCATTCTCCTACCTCCTCACTCACCTTATTGAGAAGGACGAGGTCTCCCTCTGCTAATTAGCAGTAGCACTAACCTTAGCAGAATGCTTCTGTGGGAGTTTTGCCATTGCCTTTGAAGCAAACTTTGAAGATATTAGTCTTGTCTCTAATGGCATAGAATGATCAGATTTGCTTTTCCTTGGAGTTTTGCCCATAGGGGAGGAAGGCAATGAGTTGCTTTGAAGGGTAGGTGAGCTAAATTCGCAGCCTAGGAAAGGCAGTTAAGGTGACAAGTTGCTTTGTTTGAAGGTTTGATGAGGGTATTTAGGTTTTGTGAAATCAGTTTGACAGTTACTGTATTGCTGAGGTAGAATGTGTCCTTTCCTGGTCTTGTTGTTAAAAGAGGGTGTGCAGAAGTCTGCTGTGTCTGTGCAGTGGAAGGTCATCCTCTGCTGTGCCAGCACTGGGATTTTGCTGCTGTGTTGGCAGCAGGGTTTCTGCCTGAAGGTTGACCAGCTTGAAATGTGTCTTTTTAAATCCATGGCCTCTTCATGGCAAAATCCTTGACCCTTTCATTAGCAAGAGAGAGCATTAGCAGTGGGGACTGTGGTCCAGGAAAAACAGTACAAAATAGTAGGTTATGCAGCTGGTTTCCTTCTGTAGCTTTTTTTTTTTTCCCTTTTTGTGCTTCTCAGACCTTTCAACACCCTATATAGAAATCACACTATTTATTGTCTGACAGTGACAGAAGCCATGGAGAAGTAATGTTCCTTATTAGCTGTGTAAAACGAGAAGAAAGTAGCAAGAGGTTAAAGGCTTAAAATTGCTGCTTCTTCTCCCACATAAGTAACAGTAAGGAAATATTTTGTACCTCTGACCCTGCTACACCACAGACATAGACAGAGGTGTGGAGCCAGGGTGATTTGTCACTTTGCTGTTCCTGTGACAGTTATTTAAATGAAGACAATCAGAATAATTTCATGACTATATTTTACATTAGAAGTGCTCTTTGCCAAGCCAGGTCACAGCTGGTGTTATATAACACAGCTAGTGTTATAATGACCAATGTGTATGGTTTCCCAGGAGAGAGCAGGAACTGGAGGATCTGGAATGGGTCCTGAAGGAGTTTAGCTATAATACTTTTCACTGTGTATTGCTTATTTCTTGCTAAGTTTGAGTGAAAGCAAATTGTGCACAAACACCTGACTCCCATGTTGTACTACACTGTATCACTTCCTCTGTCACTGCTGGCTTGGACAAGTAGGGAAACTGGTTTGAAATAAAAGACAAGGAACTTCATGAAGATATTCTGGGTGTCATTCTGTTACTGGGTGATTTGAGGCCCAGGGTCTGAGATATTTTCTTATGAAAATGAAAAATGGAAACCTATGGAAAGTGAGGAGAATTTACTGGAATGTTGGATCATGATGTGTTTGAAGGGAGAGAGATTTCCTACTGCAGAAAGCAACATTCTGCAGACCAGAATTTTGTGAAATTGTGGTATACAAAGTAGCTTTAAATATGATGTTGCACAGAGTCCTTTTAATGTGCTACTTTTATTGCCATGAATGGGAGAAATGGCACAAACTGGATGGTAAAAGGTTGGAATGTCTGCCTTAAATATTGAATTTTTTTAATGTCAGCCTGTGGATAAATTATGCAAATCCTCTCACATGTAGCTGTGCATATGAATAGTACTGTATAAATTTCTTCTTCATGCTTCCAGCATCCCTTGAATTCATAGTGGAGTGCAACTGCAATAGGAGGAAGGGTGGTACATCTGAGTTTCTGGATATTCACTATGATAGATAATACAGGCATGATTTACTGATTTATTGGCAGCAGTTTAGAGAGGGGACTTCTGCTTCCCATCTGCTTCTTCTGTCAAGAATCAGTGGACACTTTTTTTGGTTCAGAAGGATTCTTAAAATACTGTAGGGCACAAGACAAATGCAACCAGATTGCCATCTGTAACATGCCAGCAGTGGGGCACTTCCTACTTCAGGTCCCTTACAGAACCTTGTTTCAACTGGGTGTATCGCAAAACACAGACCAGAGGGAGTCCCCTTGTTCTTGAAGACAAACAGAGATCCAAGCCCTCATGAAGATAATGGGATTTAAGTCATTGTGTGACTTAAGCTCTGAAAGAGCAGCTCCTGTGCTAAGCTTACATGAGAGAAGATGTGAGGGTGTGTGAATGCCAGATAAGTCTGAATGAAAACCACACTAGTGTTCAACATCTTAGCAGTGACCTTTTGTATATTCTACTGCTGCATTTGCCTGACTTTAGTAGTTTGTGAAGTGAGGATTAAGTCCTTAATTTTTCCTGCAGAAGTTAGCAAGATTGAGTGCAGTCAAAGGCAATACACTTCAGGGTGGAACACAGGGGTTTCTGTGTTCTCCTTCTCCAACTCACTCTCTTGTTTCTCACATTTCCACTTCTCTGATGAGCCCCTGTGCTGCACTGGGACCTCATGCATCAACTAGGCTGTGCTCCACTGCTCATGTTAAAAGTGTGAAGTTCCGGAGCAGGACAGAAACTGTAATACAAAACTGCAAGTTCTAATGCTAACAAATAGTGCTGGTATTGACTTCTGAGCTCTCTTTTGTCTGTAATCCTTGAAACATTTAACTCATGAGGTCTTTCATTTTGCAGTCAGATGCATCCAAATTACAAAGACTGGAGAATCTGACCAGAGACATGAGATCTCAAGACCACTGTAGCATGTGTTAGATGTTGGGAGGCCACTTACTTTCATTCTCAGATAACTTCCACCTGTGTTGCATATAATTCTGGGCCCCACAAATTAAAAATAGTTTTAAAAGCATTGAATACATCCAGAGGAGGGCAAAAACGTTGGTGAAAGGGCTGGAATGAATGTCTTCTGAGCAGTGGCTAAGGACCTGGGTTTTCTCTTTTGGAGAAAAGGAGGCAGAGGGGTCACCTCGTTGCTCTCTACAGCTTTTTGAAGAGAGGAAGTGGGGAGGGAGGTGCTGATCCCTTCTTCTTGGGATCCAGTGATAGGAGGCAGGAACCTGGGGTAGGCGGCATACATTTTTCACAAGGAATAGTATTTAAAGTGTTTCTTTCCCCTAATGTAAACTGGTGGCAAAGACATTTTCTTTGAGAAATTTGTTTGAGTTGCAAGATACCTTCCAAGGAAGCAAATGGTTGCTGTTGAGAGGATACCAGAGAAACAACTACAGTGATGGTCAGCTGATGTATTGTATCCATGATCCAAACCAGGAGATGAAAAACTGACCCGGTGTATTTTCCCTTTTCTTTTCTGGAGAAAGCTTCCTTTTATATTTGCTTGCCTCTGTTTGGCCTGTTGCTGTTGGAATCACACAAAGCTTTCCCTCCTGTCTGCTAGGATTTTTCTTATGTTTGTCTTACTTGCAAGCAGGCACTGTGAGCAGTGTGCTTATTGAAGTATCCTTGGAGGAAATGTGCAACCTTCAGCTGGTTGTAGAGGGGGGCCACAAAGAGCTTAACTAAGATTTGTGCTGCAGTCTATCTGCTTGTCAAAAGCCCGCTTGGAGTGGAGTGACATGGATAACCAGGAAGTTTCCTCTCCTGGAGAGGGAGAAATAACCAAATTTCACATATGTTTAGTAGTCTGTCTAGAATTTATACATGGCAGAAAAAAGGATTCTTCTTCTTTGTTTTTCTGTCCACTTGAAGGAAGGTCTGCATGCTTTTGATTTTAATATCTGTTGCTGTATACCTTCATCTTTCTGACTTTTCTCTTTCTTTACCTTCCATAATAGAAGCAAAGTGGTGGTTTCTTGTCAGCTGTAGGGTTTTGGCGCAAATAGGATTTGTCAGTGCTGAAATTTTAGCCTGTGTTGCATAGGAAATACTGTCTGCAGCAGTGGATTTGGATCTGGGCAGGAGCCTAATGGATGATGTATTACAGTTACTGAGATCTTCCTGGTGAAATGGGATGCTCCAAATATAACCTACTGGCTTGCATTTGTGTTGGTTCTTAAGGAGAGGGAAGTTCAGGATGTAGTTCAGCTGTTAGCTGTGGAGATCTACTTACTTGCTCATGTGCTGGCAAAAGCACAGACATAAGAGAATACTAATGTCTATGAAGGCTGATGTACATGGAAGGGCTTTCTTCTCTGACTAGAAGGGTAAGGTTTGAATTCATATAGCTGTGAAATGAAATCTATGAAGGCTGCCTGGGTGTAGAAGTCTTGCTGAGTGAAGTCAAGACTGTATGGTCTGTATTTGTCAGCACTGCAGTAAGTGCAGGGCTCCAAAATCTCTGAATAACCTCTGCAGACACTCCACTAAGGGAAGACAGGCATCCTGCCATTACAGGAATGAGAATGTCTCTTTCATGCTGGGACACCCCCCAAAGGCAACAGCAAAAAAATCCACCCTCAAAACAAGATGGTCTCACAGGAAATTTCATGTGGCAATTGAATGGAGATGAGAAGTCCTCCAGCAGTGTTTGAAATCTGCCAAATTGCTGAGGAAGCCTGGAAGAGGAGTGGTAATAAACAGGGGAGGCTGGCAGAAAGAAAGGGACAGGTCTGTAGTGTTTTGCCACTGGCTTGTCTCATATCAGAGGGCTGCATGCAAAAGGCATGTTCTTCTGTTTCATGGCCAAGGTCCCTTCTCTGAACTTTATGTGATAGTGTTCAGACAACAGAGAGAATAGACATTGATGCTGAGAGTCAGACACAAATACAGGCTCTAGTGTTACCTGGGGTGAGAATTCATAGTTTTTCAGGCCATTGGAGAGAGGATATGGTTCATGAAGTGGTAACTGGCTAGCCCATCAAAGCTGCAGAGTTTCTATGCCCACTTCCAATGGCTGTAAAGACCCTCAGCAGCATCCTGAATGCTCTTCCAGATTATGTGTCTCTTGTCTATGCTTCTCTTTCAGTGGTGGGGCAGAAAGTACTCTGCCTTAGCATTGGATGGTCTTCTTTGAGGTGAGGCTGCACCTCTGCGCTGCCTTTGTGTATTCATTCCATGTGCTGAAATCAATTGCTTGAACAAGGCAACACAGCACCTTAAACATTTGCTAACTTACTGCTTTGAGCACTTTTTCTGCTTGCCATCATACTTTCTCGCGTACAGTCTGATTGTGAGAGCTTGGAATAGTCAGTTATGTTTCTCTCAGGTTAGTTTTTGGGTCTGGAGTACGTGTCTCAGGATGTAGAACATTGCTGAGAAGGCTGAAAATTTCAACTGATCGCTGAACAGATGCCCATGTGGTTTGCTAAAGAGTAACAGTTGCAATTACAGACATGGCCAAGGCTACTAGTGGTCTATCACTGATACTAATCACAGTGCATATCAGAAACAAAATACTTCAAACAAATTGTGTCTCTCTGCTGCAGACAAATTGACAACCGCCCTGTGCAATTTGAGGATTGTTTTTTTGTTCCACTCTCTCCTGTATTTTTAAATGAGCTGTTTTTGAGTTGGGTGGATGCTGTCACTGCAGAAGTGCATTAATACAAACAACAAATTTAATCTGCTGACTTAGTGCATCTTTTTGCAATTTGAATTTGTCATTACCTACAAGAATGAATCTGCTTAGTAGCTGCTTACATTTTTGCATCATTATTTGAGTCTTGTGGCTTATTTGCAATGATACTGACCTTGAAGGAATGTCAAACATACAACAACATAAGCATAAATTTGGGATTCAAATGTCTGTGAATTACCTTCTGTGGAAAATAAGGGAAGAAACAAACAAAAAAAATACAAGTGGGGAATGATGGAGCTGTTTTGATAACTTCAGTCTCCTGAAAGAATTAGAGCTGTGAAGGGGAAGGCAGACAACAATTAAAGGAAAAAGGATGGGAAAGAAATGTGTGTCAATGCCTGTGATGACAAATAGTTGAACTGCCATTTCTCTGTGTCCCTGGCTCTATCTCATTTTTTTTGCTTTTGCTGGTGAGCTCAGGCAAATTTGACCAGCAGAAAAGACATTTGAACCTTCTGTAGACGATAACTGAGTGTGAGATGGTTGTCTCAATTGCTGGCCTTGTCTATGGGAGAACCCTGGGTGTGCTTGGGAAGGTCACTTGATCTCTGTGTTAAATGGTGTCTTTCCCAGTCTCCTTGCATAGAAAGCATTACAGGACACCATTATCCCAGGAAAACAACAGACTCAACTAGACACATGCTCAGCTCTGAGAACTGCCCTTGCCTTCATGGGAAGTGAGCACTATTCTTCTGTCCTTCTATCACTCCTTCTGCTTCTTAGTGCTAGACAGAGCTGAACTTCTGGACTTAATAGACTTGAAAATTTGTCCTTGACTTGATATTGGCAATGAAACTTTCTTGCTGTTTCTACTTCACTGCCATGGTGTTACTGAGTATAGTGTGAAACTTTCTGCACACTGCGTGAAGGGGCTGGAATTGGATGGGATTGCCTGGCCTCTGTTCCAGTGCCAGTCCTAGGTGTGTCTGACTCTTTAATTCTTTGAAAATGCATATATTAATCAAAATCTTAATTTGCAAGGGGACTTTGGAAAGGTTTTACTAAGGCTGTGTTGATTTTTGTTTTTAATAAAAAGCTTTTAAACACCTAAGTTTGTTTTTTTTTTCTCAGCAATCAAGTAAAGAAGACATCTTGCAAGCATGAAAGACTACCTGAGACTAAGACATCATGTCCAAACCAATGTATTTTTTAATCTCTGGCAGTTATTTACTTTATGTTGAAGTTAAGTTTATGCATGCGACTCTTCCTTGAGTCTGAGTGAAGTGTTTTGCTCTTTGTGAATTAGATTTCTCTTTGTAGTTTCCTTCAGATTTTTTAAATCCAGATTTAAAAAGAATCCTGAACAGAATACAAGTAAGTAAAAAAATTGAAGAGAAGGAGAAAGTACTCAGCGATTTTGCCTATATATGTGTATAGTTCCTCCTCTATACAGTTGTAGCTGGAATAAAAGTGATTGGAATGATATTTAGAAAAAATCTTAATTTCATTAGAAACAGATGAGTATTTTTAAATTTTGATTTGTGTTTTTGTTTGTTTGTTTGAATTCAGTGTATTTAAAAACTTTTCTTGACAAGTGCATCTTTCACTTCTGTATTTTCCTTTAAATATCAGAGGTTTCTGTTCCACGTCACCCAGGCTGCAAAAAGACAAGATTAAAAGGTGCATGAAAGGAAATTTATAATTACATGGAGATAGATTAAAATGCTGAGGAAAAAGGTTAAGCAGGGACACCGCTACTCCTCTAAATACATGAGAGAGGTGAACACTGCAGTGAAGGAAGAACTACTTAATGTGAGGGACAATATTGGTAAAAGGATAATGTGAATAAATTGGCCATGAGCATCCTTGAGTTGGTAATTAGTGTCGCTTGACTTGTGGAAGAGAAGAGAGGTGCTCTCTCTGGGAAATCCTCCTGCTGCAGCGAGCAGGAAGAAATGGAAACTGAGTCTTGGGTGCATTTGCAATAATTGTACCTGCTCAGAGAGGTAGGGCCAGTGAGGCAGGAAATAATTATTGGTCCTGAGTGCCTCAATAGGGAGTTCATGTCTTTGAGTCTTCACTTGTAACATTGTCCATAATAACAGAATTTACCTAAAAAGTGGTTTAGTTTTTACACTAAATTTTGTTTTTTTCCAGTCTGTGATGACATCTAATGGTGTTAGAATGCAAACCCAGCTTAGTAGGAACCAGCATTGTGTTCCTCTAGGTGAATTAGTTACGGAGCTGCGGTAAATTTTCCCTTTTCTGAAATCATTTTAGCCCCTTTTTGTTTGTATAACAGAAGAGGTCTGCCAGCTATATTATGTCCATGCTCATGGATGATTTGAAATCAGCTTTTGGATTCAGATTAAAAGTAATTTTATTTCAAAGAACTTGGTGGATTTACAAATTAATTTCTAGAAAAGATGACTATACTGGATGTCTTTCCAGCTGTGATCTTTCAGCCCAGGTAAGAATTTTGAGTTTCATATTACAAGCATAGCTTGAAATTCCCTCCATGGTGACTTCTACCTGCAATTTACATGGAAACAGCTATTTTCAATGGATTTGGTAATGATGGTTTTATACTTCTGTTGAGATGAAAGTAATTTAAGAATTAGGTGTTTCTCTGGGACGTCTCCCTGGTTTTTAACAGTTACCTGAAAATAAGATGTTCCATCTTCCTCAGTATCAATATTTATTACTTTCCTGATTTTTAGACTCAGATATGCCTCATAGTTTGTCACCTGCTCTCTGCTATCTCAATATTCTAGATTCAGGCTCACATTACAGTATGGCTTAGGCCATAATTCACTCTTACCTAGGCAGCAATTTCAGAGGGTGCCTTGGGCTCCTTCCCCATGGCTGATAACTTTTCAACCAAGCCTTCTTCAAATTGCCTGACTGTTTCAGGAGTGCCTACCCAACCAAAAACTTCAGCAAGGGCACACAGATGAGTGGTAGAAAGCCAGATCACTGCCCTTGCAAGATATTGGCTTCTGGAAGAGGACGAACGTGCCATCCCTTTCTTTGGATTGTGCATCTTCTTATATTGCCAATGAACATTGTGCCAGGCAGAGATCCCACATCTCTCTGAGCACCTTTTTTGGTCACGTGGCCTGAGATCCCCTGTTGAGGACAAAATGACTTGCCTCATGGCTGAGATGCTTGATTGGGACTTCTGGTTTTGTGTTTTGAATGTCGTCTGGTAGAACTTTACAGGTGGTACTCCTTCTGCCTGGTACTCAGCACCTCTGCTCCAAAACAGTTGCATGTGCTCCTGCTATGCAAGCAGATGCAATAACAGTTGCTTAAAATAGTTGGGTAAAAGGCATTCTCTCAACCACTACCACAAACAAGAATGTTCTGTTTCCACACAGGAAAATGAAGTCAAAGTGCAAAGTTTTGACTTTGCTTCACATAGGGAATCCTCTTCCTGGTTTAAGTGTAGAGTATGTCAGTTTCAATCCTGTTTTTACTCCAGTTGACTGTTGTGACCTGGCTGCCCTGAATTAACAACACCCCTTAATTTTTTCTCTCTGTTACAAGCTTCCTGTCTTATTGGTTCTTATGTAGTTATTTGTCTGTTTTTTATTTAGAGATCACTTTAGTGTACATTTTGCTTTGTATTGTAGAAGATCCTCCTATATTGGGTCATTTTTATGTGCTCAAAAATCAGTTCTAGCTAAAAAACAGTAGAACTAATCTAGCCCAACAGGGATGATCTCTGGGTGGCCAGGGAAACTCAGTGATGTATTCTATACAACATTGTCCTGAGCACTCACAGGCACCTCTTTGATACAGCATAATGTGATTTAGAAATTTCAGCTGGCTTCCTTGACAGATATCTGTCAATCTACAGCAGCTGAAGACTTGGCATTTTTATTAATTTCTTGCAGATGCAAATGAAATAATCAAAGGGGTTTTCTTCCTCTTAAAAACTCACAAAATTCCCCTCAAAATCTCTGGCTTGGAATATTTCTCGTTTTAACACAGTCTGAAAAGGGTAAGTCAGATCCATCACCTTCATGTGCATGGAAGAGATATTTATGGCATGTTATTAGGGATGGTCTGGCTAACCTAGGGATGGTATTAGTTACATAAGATCTCAAACATACCTCAAGTGCAGCATGGATGCTGTGGAGTGAAGCAATTATCTATTTTGCTGTCTTCAGAACAGAGTGACCTAGATTCTTTCTTCTTTTTTTTTTTTCCTCTTTTTCTTTTTTTTTCCCTCCGTTTTTCCTCACAGGGTGGCCCACTTAGTTGATTAAACTGCAACTCAATTATAACTGGTTATGTTACAGTTGGGAATAAAGCAGATGTAAAAAGAGTGGAGCTGATAAAGTAATTTATTTTTTGCCGTACTAGTTAGCTGTAAATTATGATTAGGATTAAGTGACAAACATTTGGTTTAGTAGGTTTTGGGTGACAGATATTTCACAGTAGCCTTGGCTGGTGGTATGAAATGCAAAAGTGATTATATGAAAAGATGTACATTTAATGGCAAGAAAAAAAAAAAGGTTATAGTCTAGTTTATGAAAGATTTGAAATAAGCTTTAAATCCAAAAGAGGTCCACAGTCAGTAAATGCAAGGTCAGCATGGTTAATATTTTGTTTGAAGTGAATACATGAAACACATTGGCACTCTTGCATTATTTATAACTTTCATGCAGTGAAAATTCTCTGATAAATCATTAGAGGCATTAGGAGGGTAAATAAGTCATCCAGGTAGGAGGAGCTCCCATACTGCAATCTTTGGTAATAAAATAACCCTTTAAGTTAATGACAGCCATGTAGCATGTGGTTTCATGCTAAAAGCACTATAGTTAATAAAAACTGACATTGGCTTAGTGTTGTGTAAATTTCCTCATCTATTCTCCCCCCTCACTTAGGCCCAGGGAACAAACCAAAAGCAAATCTGTTCAGTGCAGGGTAACCTGAAAAGTAAAATTCCTCTTCCCATGAAGTTTAAAGAGGGAAAGGATCCAATAAGAACCCATAAACCCTGAAGACATGTAGAATTAAATTTCTAGGCAAATATCTCTGAGGAGGTATCTGCAGCAGGGATGAAGTTGTGGTTAGAACCCAGCATCAGATTTATGCAGGGACTCCAGGTGCCAGGACCTTGGCTTATCTCTTTGGGCTGGATGCTGTGTATGGCTTGTTGCTGTGTTGTGGCACCACTGTTGCCTCCTGCACATTCAAGCATGATGACTTAACCAGGTGAAATAAAGTAATGGGAATTCTGCTGTTACTTCTGTCTCTGATAGTGGGGAAAGCTGATTCTGTAAATACATTTCTTGATGGCAGAACAGGGGAAGCCAACCCCTACCTCTTCTGAAAATCGCATTATCCAATTTAAGCTGCAGCGTCTTGCTACTCAGTTTTTGAAAGCCATCTCAGAGCTGGAGAGTTTGTTCAGTATGAGGTGGCTGCTGTCCTTATCTGCCTGGATTCACATTTGGCTTCAGCAAAACAGGAAAGAAGTGTCCATCTATGGCAAAATCTTCTTTTCATATCTTGGACTGTAAGAACTTTCTCAGGGATCAGAGAAGAGCTGATGGACAAGGGCCTTTGGAAATCCTCCTTCTTGCATTTGTGCTGAACTTCCCTATCAGGAAGGAGTGGGCTAGTAAGGAAGCAGTATGCAGATATTCTGGGAGACAGTGTACAAGGCTGAGGACTGAGTTCATTGGTTATGACAAGGGCCAGATCTGCTCCAAGTACAGCTCATTTAGAGCAAAAGAGAAAGATCAATTGCTCCATCTTCAAATATTTTGTAAGAGTGAAGTGCTATTTATTTTTGTAGAGCATTCTTAGTCTTTTGAGAGGGATTAATCAGAGATAGCATAGAATATAGTAGATAGTCATGTAATTTGAAGACCTTGAAAGTTCTAGAAGGCCTTGTCTTAAAGATGGCTGACATCATGGAAAAGGCCACACTTAATTTCAAATGGTTGGAGTGCCAGTTGAAATTTGAAAGTATCTGAGACGCACACATGATTTTGTATTCTTTTCTGTGCCTCTTCTTACCTGTGTTTTTATAGGGACTTCAATGGTTAATTTTCTTTCCTCTCAATAGCTGACAGGCATAGACATGGACCTTGGCTTGTCTTTCAGTCTCCTTTTTTTTTCCTTATACCAAGAGCTCTCATGTCAGAATGTTATCTTTTTGATTTTCTTTTGTGCTAAGATAGCACTGCAACCACTTAACGGGAAAGCTTAGGAACTGTCTCTTGAGATGTATCCACCAGGATCAGACTGTCTTTATCTAAAATGTGGTGCCTAACAGGAGGATCTAATTGGCATCACTTGTCTCAGGTACCTCAGGACTGCTGCAGTGTCCTGAGAAGTCACAGAGGGGATTTGTTTGTTTAGTCATGCCCAGGGTCAAGAATGCTTTACATATTCCATATAAGAAAGATGGACAGGACTTGGACCTGATAATGCTTTCTTTCCTGTTTTCCTCACCGCACAAACTCCAATCTAGCTTCTCTCTGAAGGCACTGGGTGATTCATGTCCGTGTTATCACCCTGCACAGAGCCGTAAATCTGTGCAGGGTGATAACACCTGCACCCTTGTCTACCTCCATGGCACTGTTGGGCATCCTTTTCTCATGTACTCCTTAGGAGCAGACACCCTTTAATGGTGCAGCTGGTGGGTGGTAACAGCATGAATCTACTGACATTTTGCTAATGGTATTTGTTACAGCTAGAGCTTCTGTCTGTGCTTCATAGAAATTCTGGGGATTATTCTTACCAGTGATTTGGTAAGATGGATCACAATGATGGAAGGAGGGAAGTGAAACCATAATTCTTGTTTGAGGGCTCAGCTCTCCACTTACCCACCAATAAACCAGTTCAAAC